AATCAAGCAAAAAAAAGACAGACAGAAAATCACTCACTCCTTTTTGACTGAATCACTTTAGTAGCCCTAAAGATTAATCTAAATTTATTTATAGAACTAAATGTCTGCTTGAAAGAATGAAGAATATGGTTAACAAGTTGCTATAAAGAATGCATAATTAGCCTGTATAACCATTGGTATTGCATTAAAAAGAAGACCATGTTCTTGTTCTGTATGAGAAGTGGTTTTATTTAATTTTAATAAAGGCATGTTGTGTGTCACCAAATCGGACTATCTATCATGATAAAACCTTAATATCAAACCTATATAATGAGTTTGGAAATTTTTGAGAAATACATTAAACCAACTAAACCCATTAGATTTTAGCCGACTAAATTTACTATAGATTTAGTCAACTAAAACTAACAATTCAGGTGACTAAAATATGACAAACTAAATGGCATTTTAGTCAAAAGACTATGACTGAAACTAAATGAAAATTTGCGAAATTTGTCAAAATTAACACCGCGACTGAGCTTCGGTTGTCGGTCAGGAAAATAACCTAAATGAACAAAATGCTGTCATTATACAATTCTCTGCCAGACTTACTAAGATCAGGAAACTCAAACTTGCGTACACGAGCAGAGACCAGACGTGAGATTTGATCGTATAGCCACCGCTCACGTCCATATTGATAAGTTACAAGTTTTGCATAGAAACGACTGTACGCCCACTTTTCTGTCGTAAGCTCGTTTCGTAAATGAGGCCCAGTGTGACCCATAATGTGAGATTTCAGAATGAGATGAAGCACCCAAATGACCTTTCTTTAGAACAGTGGTTCTCAAAGTGTGGTACTCAGGCTTACTCTAGTGGTAGGCAGAGGAATCACAATTATTTTAAAACGCAATACATTTTAATTTAATCTAAGGTTTTTTTTTTTACAATGAAGTACAGTACAGTTTTTATTTAACTTTTAGGTACAACACATTTTAATTGAATTATTATTTAAGTTTGTTTACCTGTATGCACAGTGCAGTTCAAACAGTGTATTTACAATGTTAAAATGGCTGACAACAATAAATATTCTTATTAGGAATAAAACTGCCTCGTTATTGAACTGTGCAGAGCTGTAGCTGATAGAGGTGGGGGAAAATCGATACAGCACAGTATCACGATATTTTCCGCGGCAATACTGTATCGATACACGGACGCCAAGTATCAAGCTTTTAAAAGGCAAGCGCAACCAAACATACACAACAATGGCGGAGTATATGGAACTGTTGTTGCTGCTCAAGAGTTTGCTAACGCTTCTTCAGCAAAGTGTGGATTTACTTCACCAATATTACAACCAACAGCAGAGACGCATCATATAGTGAATTGGTGGGTTTTTGTTAAATGTGAGCCAAAATCATCACAATTAAAAGAACCAAAGACTTAAACTACTTCAGTCTGTGTGCACTGAATTTATTTAATACACGAGTTTCACAATTTGAGTTGAATTACTGAAATAAATGAACTTTTCCACGACATTCTAATTTATTGAGATGCACCTGTACTATTTGGTAGAATAATAAAATCAATGTCTTCACAGTCCACTAGATGGTGGTTTTGATTTTTTTTTCTGGTGAGGTCAGCTGGGTCACCTTCAGCATGCAGTAAGTTAGTGAAATAAAGATGGTGGCAAGTTATCAGGAAAGCCTTTCCATGTTTAAATTGGATGTTTATGTAAACGTATATGTTTTACATAAATGCTTTATTTGAAATTTAACAGTAATTTACTTTGCAACTTGAACAAAAAAAAGTTTGTTCAAAATACCTGTAGTAGCACAGCAGTGCATACCAGTTTACATTTAATTAAGGTGGACTAGACTAGACTAATACAAATAGTTGAGTTTGCCAGGTGCAAACAACATTTATGACAGGTTTTCATGGAAGTGTTGGTCAGTTTGTCTGCTTGACAATCCCATTTTGCACTGCAGCAATAAAATCGAAGTGAGAAACGTTTCTTTTTAGTTAAAAACAGCTAGATTTTGCCAAAGTTTTCCTTTGGGGACATAATTTGAAGTTGGAAAAAGGTAATAAATTGCAATAGATTTAAAAATCGCAATAATATTGTATCGTGATAATATCATATCGTGAGGCCTCTGGTGATCCCCACCCCTAATAGCTGAACAGTTAGGCCTACTACACTACTGTATTTTAATGTTGGTCATTATGGTGATAATGAGCCAAATAGAGGTGGTACTTTGTATAAAAAGTATGAGAACCACTGCTTTAGAATAAACATGACATGATTGTGCATAGTAAGAAGAGGAAGAACAGAGATGAAACAGATCTTTATAAAGCACCTTTAGGTCTTTCATGGCATCCAGCTGGCTAGTTGCGGTGGAGATCAGGGCATTGACGGTTAGCTCGGCTCGCTTGCGAAAGTGCTGCTGGCGCGTGGCGTAACACACGGATCGCGCTCGGTTGCTGACAATGTGATATGCATTCCACGTGTCTGAGTCCATGTCCGCTGTGCACTCTTTTATAGACTGCAGGGAGAGAGAAACTTGGTTTAATCAGACACAGTGAATTCTAGAAAACTAGAACTACTCGTGTTGACCTGCACAGTGACGAGTTTCACTCACAAACGGTTTAGCTCAGTGGTTCTCAACTGGTTTGGCCTTGGGACCCATGTTTTCCCATGGTCATCAAGCCGCGACCCATTTATATTTATACAGTTAAGTTGGTATGAGCCACCACAGTCATTTAAACACATACAAATTGACACCAAGTGAAAATAACATTGGATTATTGGGTTATGGAAACAACAGTTAGCATGGTGAATATACAATACTAACATGAACCGTTAATGAAACATGGAAACTGCTCCCGAATAATAGACTGAATATCATATCTTCATGCAAAACCTTCGCAGCTAACACACGCAGTACCAGTTACGTGATTTATCGGTACTGAACTTTTATTTCACACGCTGCATGTTCGTAGTTTCTGCGCTTTAGTGAAGTAATCTCTTTACTTGCACTGCATCTGACAGAAGTGTCAACAGCTTTCATGCAGGTCTTTTAAAAGAGAAGTCTCGCATCAGAAAAACATTTAGAATTAAGTTTTTTGTTGTTGATGTCATTTCTATGGTTGTACACTCGTTGAGAAACACTGGTTTAGCTGATATTGCACCTATAAAATAGCAAGGTTGTGGCTATTGACCCTACCATTTCTTCAGTGCAAGGGTAAGTCCTGCGGCCCTCCACCTCCGATTGGCAGTTGAACAAAGCCACGCCCAGTTTGGACAGCTGCTCCTCTGACAGGCCGCTGCAAGTAGCTTTGAGCTGAGCAACAACCTGTTAAAAAACAACGACAAGCAATGTGTCTTTAAGGGCAGAATAACAGCTTTAAGTCTGCATGAACTTGATCTTTTTATAAAAATGGCCAATAGCGTTTTGCAAAGGAAAACTTTTAAATCGTTCACTATCCTCTACATAGTGCACCCAAAGTTTTCCTTTGGGGACATAATTTGAAGTTGGAAAAAGGTAATAAATTGCAATAGATTTAAAAATCGCAATAATATTGTATCGTGATAATATCATATCGTGAGGCCTCTGGTGATCCCCACCCCTAATAGCTGAACAGTTAGGCCTACTACACTACTGTATTTTAATGTTGGTCATTATGGTGATAATGAGCCAAATAGAGGTGGTACTTTGTATAAAAAGTATGAGAACCACTGCTTTAGAATAAACATGACATGATTGTGCATAGTAAGAAGAGGAAGAACAGAGATGAAACAGATCTTTATAAAGCACCTTTAGGTCTTTCATGGCATCCAGCTGGCTAGTTGCGGTGGAGATCAGGGCATTGACGGTTAGCTCGGCTCGCTTGCGAAAGTGCTGCTGGCGCGTGGCGTAACACACGGATCGCGCTCGGTTGCTGACAATGTGATATGCATTCCACGTGTCTGAGTCCATGTCCGCTGTGCACTCTTTTATAGACTGCAGGGAGAGAGAAACTTGGTTTAATCAGACACAGTGAATTCTAGAAAACTAGAACTACTCGTGTTGACCTGCACAGTGACGAGTTTCACTCACAAACGGTTTAGCTCAGTGGTTCTCAACTGGTTTGGCCTTGGGACCCATGTTTTCCCATGGTCATCAAGCCGCGACCCATTTATATTTATACAGTTAAGTTGGTATGAGCCACCACAGTCATTTAAACACATACAAATTGACACCAAGTGAAAATAACATTGGATTATTGGGTTATGGAAACAACAGTTAGCATGGTGAATATACAATACTAACATGAACCGTTAATGAAACATGGAAACTGCTCCCGAATAATAGACTGAATATCATATCTTCATGCAAAACCTTCGCAGCTAACACACGCAGTACCAGTTACGTGATTTATCGGTACTGAACTTTTATTTCACACGCTGCATGTTCGTAGTTTCTGCGCTTTAGTGAAGTAATCTCTTTACTTGCACTGCATCTGACAGAAGTGTCAACAGCTTTCATGCAGGTCTTTTAAAAGAGAAGTCTCGCATCAGAAAAACATTTAGAATTAAGTTTTTTGTTGTTGATGTCATTTCTATGGTTGTACACTCGTTGAGAAACACTGGTTTAGCTGATATTGCACCTATAAAATAGCAAGGTTGTGGCTATTGACCCTACCATTTCTTCAGTGCAAGGGTAAGTCCTGCGGCCCTCCACCTCCGATTGGCAGTTGAACAAAGCCACGCCCAGTTTGGCCAGCTGCTCCTCTGACAGGCCGCTGCAAGTAGCTTTGAGCTGAGCAACAACCTGTTAAAAAACAACGACAAGCAATGTGTCTTTAAGGGCAGAATAACAGCTTTAAGTCTGCATGAACTTGATCTTTTTATAAAAATGGCCAATAGCGTTTTGCAAAGGAAAACTTTTAAATCGTTCACTATCCTCTACATAGTGCACAGAGCTGGGTAGTAACTGATTACATGGATTACGTAATCAGATTCCAAAAATTAAGTACTTGTAATTAGATTAAAGACGTAAACAGCGTATGCTGTTCTGTGTCCACGGCGTCACGCGGATGTGTTGTTTTCATTCAAATTAAAAGCACAAACAACGTAGGAAACAGATCCGGCGTGACACAGCCAACACAGAACAGCATACGCTGTTTACGTCCAGCTGATATTCTCCAAAAATGGCACCAGGGTAATGCGGAGGAGAAAAATTGTTGAATAAAGTAGTTGTTTTTTTTCCTTTTGCGCACAAATAGTATTCTCGTAGCTTCGTATAATTGCGGTTGAACCACTGTCGTCACATGGATTATTTTACAGATCTCCTTGCTACGTTTCTGGACCTGGGAACATTACAGTTGCATTGCTGTCTATGGGAGGGTCAGAGAGCTCTCGGATTCCATCACAAATATCTTAATTTGTGTTCCGAAGATGAACGAAGGATTTATGGGTTTGGAACGACATGAGGCAGAGTAATCAATGACCATTTTCATTTTTGGGTGAACTATCCCTTTAATTTACATTTTAAAATACTCGTAATCAGATTACAGTCACTTTATGGATTACATAATTACATAGTTTACACAATGGTAATAAATTAATAATTTATTGATTCTACCCAATTCCTCTTCATCTTTTAAATGTTCCTTTCTAAAATGTCCTACTGCATATATACACTCAGAAAGTCTCCAGGTTTGTGGAGATTCACACAGGGATCAGTCATTAGTCAGATTTATTCACAGCATTTGAACACTGGATTTACAAAAATCATTTCAGGTTTAAGAAGTGTTTTTGAACATTCATTTTTATTTGAATTATCATCAGTAGGTTATTTAACCATGCATTGCATAAGCGTTGAAAGGCTTTTGTCTTTCAAACTCATTAAAAAACACAAATTTGATTGATGCTATTATACAATTACTAAATATTTCCATTTTTATAATTTAATTACAAGCTTTTAATTAAACTCACAGACCCCCTGCAGTTCATTTATGAACCCCAGTTTGGGAAACCTTGGTGTAACAATGTTTAATGCACTTTATGTTGTTAATTAATACAAATAGAATATATAGTCTTTTACTCTTTGTATTAATGTCAATACGGTACAAGATTATCCTATTTAAATTAATGCGATAAACGAGTTGGGTCAAAAGTAATCTAAAAGTAACCAAAAAGTAGTCCGATTACATCACCTAAAAAATGTATTACATGTAATTTGGAATCAGTAACAGACTACTATAAGTAATATAGAATATAATTGTATACTTGTATATATAATTGTATACTTATACAATAAGTAATCTACCCAGCACTGATAGTGCACTGTGCTATTCAGCACACAAAAATTAGTAAATATTGTTTTGTAGAGAATAAATATTGGTTGTAGAGAAACTGTAATTTTAATGCATATATCCTCTAAATGCCGATTTTGACATTGGAGCAAAAGTCTAATATATATATATATATCCTTAAGGCTAATGCATTCATACAGAAAGTCACAAAACCTCAATTTTGATTTCATGGGGAATTTATTTGATTCTTAGTTTATTTTCATTAGATTCCTAAAGGTGGAAGTAGCCTAATAAAAGCATGTGTCCTTGGTTTTACCTCATTTGCATACTGCACACTGCTGTTACAGTCAGTGCTGCTTGTAATAAGAGTACATTACATTTTAAAATGCTCATGATCACACTACAGTTACTTTTTATGGAATACATGATTACATAGTAATGCAATGGAAATAAATTATTCACAATTTCTCCCTGATTCTCTCTCGCTTTCTTTAAAAGTTTAATTGTCAAAGTTGTTTTCATATTTTTTTTTTTTTATTCTTTTTATTTTCATATAATGCAGGGATTTAAAAAAAATTGTCAGACAAATTCTTTAAAATAAAATATTTACATTAAATATCTCTGAGGCAGGTTAAAAAAAAAAAAAAAGTTGGTTTTTTTTTATTACTGAATTATTTATTACTAGCTTTTTATAAACTCAGAGACCCACTGCAGTTCTTACATTAAGCCCAGTTTGGGAAACCCTGGTGTAATGTAATGTTTAATGTATTTTATTATGTTGACATCAAACTGAATATTTTCTTTCCCTTTGCTTTTTTTCCTTCTTCTCAATGCAATGTGTTTAAAGGTAAATGTAAAAAGTTTGATTTAAAAAAAAGAAAAAAAAAGTAATTAAAAGTGACCTAAAAAAAATTCAGAATACATTACCTAGCTCTCTAGATATTTCTACTGCTATTTTTCATTGTATTTTTGATTGCACTTTATTTGTAATTAGAGTAACAGCCGTCGGCTTAGAAGGAGCTTTTTTTGTATTATTTATATTGCTCCATTCATGCACTTAAAGGGGTCATATGATGCTATTTTAAAGATCATTATTTTGTGTATTTGGTGTATCAGAATATGTTGACATGCTTTAATGTTCAAAAAACACATTATTTTTCAAACACTGTACATTATTGTAGGTCTTCTATGCCCCGCCTCTCTCAAACGCTTTGTTTTCTACAAAGTCCCTCCTTCCGACAAGCGCAGTCTGCTCTGATTGGCCAGCTGACCCAGTGCACTGTGATTGGCCGAACACCGCAAGCACTCGTCGAAAACGTAACGCCCCTTACCATAATCGCCAGCTTCATCTTTCAAAATAAATGTAAAGACAGAGCCTGAAAGGGGAACAGAGTCGCGTGACAGACACAGTGATGAAGCTGGTATGTGTTTGCAGTACACAAGGCACGGTTAAGACAGCTGACTCTACTGTCTGTCTGTCTGTCTGTCACACACACACACACACACAATAGCAAATACTTAAACTAATAACAAAACAGTAGCTGATTCAGAAGCGCCAGATTGTCATACCAAAGTCAGAACTACCTCCTCTCCTAGGTTCACGAAACGGTCGTCCATAAAATGCATTGCTGTTCTGTTGTAAGTAATCTTAAAGATTCCTAAATGCATCTACTTTCGGAAGGCCAAATAAAGTGCTTTTGCTTTCACCTAGAAACACACAGCGTCTCCCTGACATGCTGCTTCAACACTAACTGCGGTTACTGAAACCACGCCTTCTTTCTTTGCGTGCACATTTGGGCAGCATTATGCTAATATTTCCACATAGTGAGGTAGATATGTGGGGGCGTGTTAAGACGAGCTGTTTTAGGGGGGCGTGGCAGAGTCTTAACTTTGATAAAGAATATCTCCTTGGTTTTGAGACTTTAGTCTTTGCAACTTCAGGGATCTTATTTATGCACAATCAGCTTTGTAACACTCCAAAGAGAAAGGAAAACCTGAAATCGCATCATATGACCCCTTTAAATGCAAACTTTGGTTTCGATTTGAGCAATTGCCCTGCTATAGGCTTTTGGGTGTGCTAATTTAACAAGGCAGCCACAGCTGTTTTCTCTGAAGTGTTGGGTGGCTGTGTATTTGTTTGTTGCCTGTCAGCTGAGGCGGAAGCGTTCAGCCCTCGTGTGAAGACCTACGAGTGTGAAGACCTACTTTACCTGCGCGACTTAAACCAAGCAATGAACTTAAGTACTCTTTTCCCTTTACGCACTCCTTTCGGTCATCTCCCTTCCACCTCATGTGTTTCCATTACATTCCGGGTGTCTCGCAACAACGCTCTAACATCACTCGCAGCAATGCAATCTTGCTAACCTGCATCTTATCTGTACATCTTCTATTGCACCCCTTTCGGTTTCTGTGGGTCTCTGGAATTGTCAGTCAGCTGTCAACAAAGCTGACTTCATTTCTGCTTTTTCTTTGCAATCTACACTCAGCATATTAGGCTTGACTGAGACCTGGATTCATCCAGAAGACTCCGCAACCCCAGCTGCTCTGTCTAACAACTTATCTTTCTCTCACACCCCTCGTCAGGTCGGGAGGGGTGGGGCTACTGGTCTGCTCCTTTCTAACAGTTGGAAATACTCAACCCACTCCCCCATATGCAATTATAACTCATTTGAATCTCATGCCATCACTGTAATAGCTCCTATAAAACTCCAGGTTGTGGTAATTTACCTGCCTTCTGGGCAACTGGGCACCTTCCTAGAGGAGCTGGATGGGCTGCTGTCCTCATTCCCAGTCCACTTTTAGTCTTTGGGGACTTTAACATTCATCTGGACAAGCCTTATGCTGCAGACTTCTATTCACTCCTAGCTTCATTTGATTCCAAAAGCATTACCACTACAAGCACTCACAAATCAGGCAACCAACTTGACTTAATTTACACACGCAATTGTACTGCAGACAACATTTTGGTAAAACCCCTACACGTCTCTGACCATTTCTTCATTACATTTAACCTACAACTTCCTACCTGTGTGCCACCAACCCCTATACCGGTTACTTTTAGACGAAACCTGCACTCCCTTTCACCCTCCCAACTTCCCTCTGTAGTATCCTCCTCTCTTCCCTCACATACTCATTTCTGGATGTTAATGCAGTAAATGACAATTTATGCTCTACTTTAACTTGTCTAGACGATATTTGTCCTCTCTCCCCTAGGCCAGCACGAGCTGCCCCTTCTGACCCCTGGTTATCTGATGTTCTTCGTGAGCATCGGCCCAAACTCAGGGCAGCAGAGAGAAAATGGCGCAAATCAAAAGATCCATCAGACCCGAGTATGTATCGGTTTTTGCTTTCATCTTTCTCTGCACAAGTCTATACTGCCAAATCTTCACATTTTCACAAAAAGATCAACAGCGCTACAGACACACGTAACCTCTTCAAAACATTAAATTCTCTCCTCTGTCCCCCTTCACCACCTCCCACCACTTCTAAAACAGCTGATGATTTCACCACATTCTTCACAGAAAAAACTAGAACAATCAGTAGTCAGTTCTCAGCTCCACACACACAAAACCAACCGCATCCACGCCTAAAACTTCCCCCTTCTCCTTCTGTCCCCTCACGGTGGCAGAAGTATCCAAACTTCTCTCCAGCATCCTACAACATGCCCTCTAGACCCAATCCCCTCACACCTTCTCCAAGCAATCTCTCCTACACTCTTACCAGCACTCACACACACCCTCAACACATCTCTCCTCACAGGCACCTTCCCCACTGCATTCAAGCAGGCTCGGGTAACCCCACTGCTCAAAAAACCTACATTAAACACTTCTCTTATAGACCTCTACAGACCGGTCTCTCTCCTTGCATTCATAGCAAAAACACTCGAACGAGTTGCTTTTAACCAGGTATCATTGTTTCTTTCACAGAACAACCAACTGGACCCTAACCAGTCAGGTTTCAGGAGTGGCCATTCAACTGAGACTGCACTACTGTCAGTCACGGAAGCCTTGCGGATTGCAAAAGCTGATTCCAAATCATCAGTTCTTATTCAACAATTACCCCATCAAGTTTGGTCAGAAATTTTGGTGTAATTTTTGATGACCAGCGGACTTTCAAAGACCACAATGCAAAAACTGCTGGATATTGCAGGTTTGCATTACACAACATCAGAAAGATCAGGCCCTTCCAAACAGAGCATGCTGCACAACTTCTTGTCCAGGCCCTTGTCATCTCTAGGCTGAACTACTGCAATGCTCTTCTGGCTGGACTTCCCTCATGCTCAATCAAACCTCTACAAATGATTCAGAATGCAGCGGCACAACTGGTCATCAACGAGCCCAAAAGAGCCCATGTTACACCTCTCTTTATCTCCTTGCACTGGGTACCGGTGGCTCGCATCAAGTTCAAGACATTGATGCTTGCATATAGAACAGCCTCAGGCTCAGCACCCGCCTACTTCCACTCACTACTACAAATCTACATCCCCTCCAGAAGCCGGAGATCCACTGAACCCCTGACATTTTTCAAGCGACAGCTGAAAACTCACCTTTTTCGTCACAATCCGACTTCATCCTAAAAAATATATATATTTCCTTTCATTTTTCTCTGTCTAGCTTGCACTTATTTGAGCAATGCTTGAAACATGGACAAGCACTTCCGGTGTCTATTTGCCTCTTTAAAGGTCCCATATTGTCAAAACTTGTTAAATTAGGCTTTTTTCACGATTATTGAGGTCTAGGGGCTATTTAACTACCATATAAGTTTCAAAACACATCAAATCAGATCCACAGTCCAACACATCCACAGTCAAATGCACACAGCCTGCTTAAAGTAGCTGTGATTTTTCACGAACCATTGTGACTTCCGTAAAAAGTTGACATCAGAACCATAGTCACCGCCCCCAGTCCCACTCTCCTTTAGCCAAACCCCCAGACAACATCGCGTCCATGCCATTGCGGAGCAACAACACGGAAACATGTCGAAAATGTTAACTTTAACCACAAAATCAGATTGACCGACCTGTAATGTTACACTCTCACTCAGAGGATGGACGATCTGACAGGATTGTTACTATGAGGTGGATCACATCTAACGTGTATAGTAAAGACAAACTCACCGTGTCTATCTAGTCATGATGATGTACTGCAAACGTGAGCATTTTTGACGATCGTTTCTGTCCAGTCCGCTCGTTTTATCGCGTTTAACCACAGCTGTCGTCGGTTTTTTGTCTGGCAGTGGCAGCAGATATGCGATCAAATTTCTAATACGTCGATTCTGGCACCCAACAGCACAACAAGATTATATTTTAAGCTCCTTATGTAGCCGAACCTGTGCTGGTTTGAATGGGCGCCTCCAGTTTCCCCTTTGCTTTGCTGCCTCCAGCTAGCGCTGTGACGTCGGCTGACCCTAGTTACCTGTGGTTGGCCTGGCCGTGCGTCACTCAGAACACAACAGGCCAATCAGAAGAGAGGCTCATGAATATTAATTAGACAGGCCAAAATCGACCTGTTCTCAGCAGAGCTCCTGAGAGAGGAGCTGTAAAAATATATTGAGATGGTTTTTGGTACTTATACCGCAAATATATATTCTTATGGACATCAAAACCTCAAATAAAACTCCAGAAAGGTGTACAATATGGGCCCTTTAAAATGAATCACTTGATGTATTTCCCATTTGTAAGTCGCTTTGGATAAAAGCATCTGCTAAATAAATGTAAATGACCTAAAATGAGTAACAGATTACGTTACTGGCTAGTTTTCATCATGTAATTTGTAATCGGTAACAGACTACAATTTAAGTAATTTACCCAGCTCTGGATACAGTACTTTGAGCACTGCTTACTTGATTTGTATTTTTTGTTCCGTTTTGCTGAATTTGGTGACAAACTGCTTTGAAGCAATATGTATTGTATATAGCGTTAAGCACAGAAAAATGGCTTGACATGGATGTTCTATTGCCTATAATAAGCTGATTGTTGATTGTGAAATTCTTGAAAGTAAGATATCATACACATTACGCTTACTCGGAAATGGCAGCTGTCCAGAGGACTGAGCTCCATCTGCTTTGCTTCAGCCAAAAACTTCTCGTCAACAACACTCATTTCAAAGGCGGGGGTCTCTCCATGGAGCAGAACTGGGGCGATAGATTCCTGTGGCGGAGCAGGAGCGGGTGCAGGCTTCTTCAGCCAGTCAAAGAAAGCATCCACCTCACCATACTGCACAATCAACACCCACAGCATCACAAACCAAAGCCCCATCCTCGGCAACCACCCTGGCCTGCACACAGAAGATGAGGAAGCGTGTAAAACATAGCACTTAAATGTCCCTTATTTTCAGTTGCTCCTGAAACACTTACTACTAGCTAGCAACTTAAAATACATTAAATATGTGCTGCATGCAGTTCATTTAAAAACATCCTATATTTATAATTATAAACAAATTCATTCATTCTCGATTTTAAATAATAAATGTAAAACGGTTTTAACATTTAAATAAATGAGAAAACTCATTAAATATATACAGTGCACAGCATAAATGAGTACACCCCTCTGAAACTTAAATTCAGCAATTACTCTTTGCTTAGACATGTTAAGGTTTTTTATAGATATAATATTCCAGCAAGTCTGCTTGATCAGTTACCAGAGAAGAATGTTAAAATTATTCAAGAAAATACCATTTTCTTATCAAAGTGATAAAATGTTGTGTTGCAAAAAGGAGTACCCCCTCCTGAAAGTTACTAAATAAAGCTAAAAAAAATAATAATCTGGTTTAAGGTTAAGGCAAGTATTGATCAACAGGTATGTATGTTGAACCAAAACTGTTAAAGGTAAGTAATTTCTTGATAATTAAGTGTTATATGGCCCACTGAATCATACGCCGACTTAATGCTGACAACAATGAAACCACTTGAGAGAGAACTGTCAGATTTCTTTCTTAGCATAAAAGAGGACAATGGTACAAGAGGAATACCAAATTATTGTTTTAAGTGTGAAAATATAGCCAAAGTACCACAGAAATTAAAAAACAATGGACTTGTGAAAAGCCCCTGAAATAATCAGGTCTTCACTTTAAGCTTTCATTTAGTGATGAGTGAGTTTTTGCTAGAAAAAGAGCAGGAGAAACACTGTGAAAGTGTCTCAGAGCCGGCAAAAGCTGTGAAAAGAGTGACACTTTATCTCACGGAGTAAGATGCAGCATGCAGAAGTGACATGCATGGTTGTTTATCCACACCAGAACTACCGACTGTAGCCAAAGCACAATAAACTCATTTAGCTTTTTTCAAGGCCCATATTCACAAAATAGAGACTTCTGGGAATCCATACTCTGGTCTCCAGAGACCAATTGAATCATTTCTGATCTAACAGCAGCCAACATGTTCTGGTGTTGCTAGAGGAGGCGTGACGTTCAGTGGTAGTGAAGTTCTTCTATAGGGATGAATGAGTGCTGAAGGTGTGAGGGAATTGTGTTAATCAACGCTGTGTGATGTATACAAAAACCTGAAACTGAAGATGCTACCATCCCCTCATTCCCTGCATTATTGGGCTTTTTTTTAAACATGTATTCATTCTCCTGAGGTGAAAATCCTCCAGTGGACATGTATTTCACTCAATCGTAACGCTCTTGAACAGCTGTGGGGGATTCTGTAGAGACGAGCTGAGAAACACTCCCCATTAAAGACCAGCGCATTCAAGGAGCTCGTCCTCCAGGAGTTAAACAGCACAGATGTGAACATTTGTCATGAACTTGTACACTCAGTGCCAAGAAGTGTCAGAGCAGAGTACTTTAAGTTCTGGAGGACATACTAAGTTCTAGAATATTACACTTGGTTGAATTACATCTAGGTTGTACTCAATTCTGCAATCCTTCATTTAAACAAAAATTGGCTAAGTTTCTTATTTTACAGATATTAATGGCATGTATTTCTCTGTTTTTATTAAGAATATGTTTAATACATTAAAATGTTGCCATCTTTCTATGAATTACATTAATGATCATTAAGAAAATACATCTTTTATATTTAGGGGGTGTACTCATTTATGCTGTGCACTGTACATAAGCATATAGAGAAACCTGTATTGTTTTCAATAAAATAAATAAATAAACTGTTTTATCATTTAATAAATAAGCGAGGAACTCATAAAATAAATACATACAGAGAAAACGGTGTCACTGTGTCATAAATAAATGAATCTCGTTAAAAATCATTCTAAATGAGAAAAAACACTTAATAAAAATAAATATATAAATGGTAGAAAAACAATTACACACTTCACTTACAGAGACTTATTACTGTAAAGAAGGAACAGTCTCTCAGCACACGCTGGGCCTGCTGTTAAGCTAGATAACTTAGTAATGTGAGGTCTGCCTCTGAAACATGTCTGGGCTATCGGATCAGTGAATCAAAACCTTAGATCAGATCTTACTCATCATCTCAACTGGACAGTTACAAATCTGCATTTTATTCAGACATGCACGTTATATAAAATTAGACATGCATATACAAATATATTTGTACATATGTGTATATATACAAATCTATGATTTAACGATTGCATTGAACGTCCGTATCAACACATCCACTGCACTCACCTCGATATGCGCTACAGAGTTTTCTTTATAAAAACTTCAGCTGAGCTCAATCCATCAGCACTTATCTAAACCCTCCTGTGAGGATTCAACTGTTTAAATGGACTCACAGCAGCCAATCAGCGGCAGCGGAGTGCCACAGAAACACTGCGAGATTTGCTGGTTACAACAGGCGCGAGATTTTATGAGACCTGTGTGTTTTGCAGTGTTGCCAAGTCCGCGGTTTTCCCGCGGAATTGTGCTACTTTAACACTGTTGCTGCTGGTTGTTGCATTTTTTCATTTAAGGTACCTGCCAAGTCTCTTTACACACTCCTGTACAGTAGGTGGCGATATACCATAATTACAAGTTGCAAAAGCCAAGAAAAAAGAAGAAGAAGTTGTTTTTCATATCTGCAGGTTGAAGCCACATCATTAACACTATATTTAGCCCCTGATATGCTACTTTTACCAGGGATCCCCGCAAAAAAAACTGTATTTTACCCCCAGGAGATTTTTAATTGGGGATCCCCCTCAAAACACGATTGGGCTAGTTTTGAGCAGCAATTGGGTGGGTTTTGTTGTGAAAACATGGCAACCCTGGTGTTTTGTAACACTTGGAAGTGAGAGATTGTAAATAAAAACCTATTTATTGTCGTGTTTATACTCGTTAATTATGTAAGAATACGTTGTAACTATATAACGAACCCCAGCGGAGAGAGTTATGTTTTGAGTGTACGGGTGTTGATTGTTTTGAGTGTACGAGTGTTGATTGTTTTGAGTGTACGAGTGTTGATTGTTTTGAGTGTACGAGTGTTGATTGTTTTGAGTGTACGAGTGTTGATTGTTTTGAGTGT